GTAGCGTCCTGCGCAGACGTTGTTAGTGGCCCGAGGCCTCACCTATAACATCTGCTCACATTCGCTCAACATTTGACTTCCCGGCAATTAACCAATCACAGTCATGTACACGATAATTGGAAGATCGACCTTCAATGACCTTCACACGCATGGGCTATCTTATATCAACAAGTCTGCAGTATTTTAAATTTGAAAGTTTTAATACTGCGCGTATCAGAAGAAGCTTTTCATTCCATTGTAAACGAAAAGAAGGATGTTTTCGTCAATCTCACATTAACTGGAGTCAGTGCATGCTATGTCATTATTAAGTTGAACTGAGAGCGATGAATAAGCGAAGGCATTGGAAGAAGGGAAATATTCTGTATATGGCACACCAGGCAATAGCAGAATCGTTTGTGCTTTGGCTATTGATGCATGAAGCTCGTGTCAGTATGTATTATAATAAATCCTAAACATACATGTGTTCGCATTTGTATTAAATTTTCAAAGCCACAGGAATCGATCGGCTTTGATCATTTTAATAGTCGTTATTTTATATTGTCTTGAATTTTTTTTTGTTAACATCTATTGGATGTGGTATACTAGCAAATTTATATGAGCCATTCTAGTTAGTATGCATACCCCAACCCTCTGATGTAAAATCCTTCATAATTGAAAGTTGTAATTATCTGCGTTACGCAGTTTAGCAGATAATTGCTATCTAATTGTTTGATATGCAGAATAATGTTCATGCAATTAGCATTCCTTTGTTATACAAATGCAAAATAAACAGCAACGTGAGCGTTGTTTGTTCTCGCTGCTTTCACGTTACACAGTTAAATTTACTTTTCGCTGGATTTATTTATCAGCTGTTCCTCATAAATTATGTTATGTTATGTACGTATGTATACTGTCCGTATGTGGGTATATATATATATATATATATATATATATATATATATATATATATATATATATATATATATATATATATATATATATATATATATATATACGTGTAATTATATTTATATATATTTTCTTTAACAGTGTCTACAATATGGTCACCTTCAGAGGAACTGCCACATGAAGGGACAGCAGCAATCCCTCGTGCTCGGCCAGCCGCCAGCTGACTAGACGTAGGCGAAGTGTGCGAATACGACGATCAGGTTGGTTCATTCTCTTTTTATTTAAATAGTGATGACGTTGATACATCATCAGCGGGTTTAGTTAGTGTTCGCGGCGGACTTGCTCGGTCTTCCATGTATTGGAAAAACTCACACTCAACGCTTCGCAATTCGTGCAAGATATAGTTGATGAGGGTTATAAAATTCCATTTCAGTTAATTCCCGATCGTTGTTTTTTAAAAAACAACAAATCTGCTAGAGATCAACCTGGTTTTGTATCAGAGGCGATTTTAAAATTATTGGCGGGCGGATACATCGCTGAGCAGGTCGAGCCGCCATACTGCATAAACCCATTGTCGGTTGTTAAAGGAAAAAGCTTATTAAAAAGATTAGTTTTAGATCTGCGGAATGTTAACAAACATCTGTCCGCACAGCCTTTTCGCTACGAGGATCTCAGATCGCTAGCTCAGTTGTTTGAAGAAAAATTCTGTTTTTTTACGTGGGATTTAAAATCCGGTTACCACCATGTCGACATTTATGCACCGCACAGAAAGTTTTTAGGGTTTTCATGGGTTTTTAACGGCGCAGTGCGATATTTCACATTTTCGGTATTGCCGTTTGGCCTTGCTTCGGCATGTTATTGCTTCACTAAACTATTGCGTCCATTAATAAAGAGATGGCGCGGAATGTCTCATGCCGCCTTTGTTTATCTGGACGATGGGATCCCGGGGCATAAACAGCGCTTAGATGCTGTCGCTGCTAGTATAATTCACAAGAACGATCTAACTTTATCCGGTTTGGTCGCCAATGATGAGAAGTGTCATTGGGAACCAATGCAGGTTGGGGAATGGCTTGGCCTTATCATTAATACCATTAATTTTCATTTTGAAATTCCGCCTCGCAAGATAGAGAAAGCTAAGAAAAATATGGAGTCTGTTTTGTCCTCAAAGTGTATTTCGTATAGAGAACTTGCTAAAATTGCTGGTTTCATTAATTCTCTATATTTAGCTGTCGGGCCTTCGGTATATAAGGCTTTTCACTCGGCAGCTTTTTTATACGATTTCCCAGAGAGGCTCCTGGTCCGATTACATTACTGATATTCCGCCTCTCTTAGTTGGAGAGTTAAGATTTTGGTTAACTAATCTTGGCTGTCTTAATGGGTATTCCATGACGCCCAAGCTAGGTGTCGGCCGAACCACTCTATATTTATACAGATGCTAGTAGCTTTGGTTACGGCGGTTATTTGGCCTCATTGCATGAATTTAAAACTCAGGGCCATTGGACTTTAGAACAAAAAGTCAAAAGTTCAACATTCCGAGAATTGTTAGCTATATTGCAGGTGTTAAAAGTATTCATCAAGCATTTAGAGCATAAGAATATAAAAGTCTTTTCAGACAGTCAAAGGGCATGTCGCATCGTTCTAGTTGGTAGCAGAGTACCCGAACTTCAACACATTTGCAGTTGAAATTTTCAACATTTGTTTTTTCAGTGACATACAGATTGAATCACAATGGATACCTCGAACCCAAAATCAGATTGCCGATGCATTAAGCAAAGCAACTGATTTAGATAATTGGCAGTTAGCACCACAATTATTCAATTTATTACATGCCAAATGGGGTCCTTTCACTATCGATCGGTTTGCTTCTAGTCATAATAACCCAGCCGGCACACGACGTCGTTTCGACGTCGAAATTTCGTCGAAATGAATTCGAGACGTCGATCGACTAAATATCGACGTCGTTTCGACGTCACCTTCACGACGAATTATAGACGTCGTATAATCAACGTTGTTTCGACGTCGCTCTGATAACGAGTTATCGACGTCGCAAAAACAACGTTGTTTCGACGTCGTTCTGACGCCGTTGTGGCGACGTCGTATCAGTGATCAAATTTAATATAAATACTATAAATTGGGTGAAGCCAAGATCGAGGCAAAAGAGTGTTCTCTTTTAGGTATACTGAAACACGCGTGAATTTTGTGAGGTTTTCCAATCAATGTTTTTCAATTTTTGTACACTTTTTTTAGTGGCAAATACCCCACTCAAAAACTAAAGGAAAGATTGATGCAAGTGCAGTCCATAGGTTCGATGTTTAGTCCAAAACATAGGCCTGTTCCAAACGTCGCACTTCTCATGTGCCGAACGCATTAAAAACAATAGATAATCAGCTGAAATGCCTCATTATCTACTGTTTCTAATGCGTTCGGCACATGAGAAGCGCGACGTTTGAAACAGGCCATAGATGTTCATAGTTGGTGTTTCTACGAGGGATTTGTCATTTGGAAAATTTGTACTCGTCAAATAACTTTGCTTTTTTGGTAAAGTGTTTCTAAAATTTGCTCTGAAAGACCACTTGATAAGCCGAACTTAAAAAATGATCGCCTGACAAATTATAAAATTATAAATATATTCAGTAAATTTCCGCGTAGGAGCCTCGCTAGTTCAGTTCACTGGATTTACATGAACTCCAGTTACACATTGAGCGCACCGAACCGCCCTTCATATAACAGAGGTCCACCCCCCATATATCATCAAAGTGTGATGTTTTGTATTTGAATTTTTGGCGGTGGGACACAAGTCTTTGCCGATTTTTCGTATCATTTTATGTATATATCAAGTCTCGTTTATTCGCTGAACTAAATGGATCGTATTCTCGTAATTAAGCGCAATATTCGGTGAGTATTTTTATATTTTGTAGCGACTTATTTACACTTCAATTGATTGTGATTTGTGATAGATTTGATTGCATATATAAACATCATAGACACATATAAAAATCTATTTAAATATCGACCTAATCCGTATTACAGATGATATTTTTTATAATAGTTTTCTAAATGACAGTATATTTGTTATTATATTTTAGACCAAAGCTCTGAGTCAAGAATTTTGCTTATTTTAATTATGGTATTCGGACTACTTTAATTCCTATGAAGAACTCCAGGGCCTGGTTGGAATCGAGGCACGTTCCGCCACATATCTGTGGCGGACAGACTCAGGACATTTATTTCCGCCGGCGTAATTTTACATGAGATCCTTAGATGCGGCGTAAACGATCAACATCAATTGAATTATAATACTTGCCATAAAAGTAACAGTATTTTGTAACACGTAAACATCGTTTTCCTTGCGAGCAAAGAAATACGAGAGGACTTAATTGCTCACAGGGTAACATCGTTTATATTAGGGAGCATTCATTTTTTAGCTGGGGGGTGTGCCGGTGGAATTTGGGGGTGGGTCAGCCAATTTTGACATGCTTCATTTTATAGTTTTGGTATAAATAGAGGGGGTCATAAAAATAATCAGTGAAAAAATCACCAATAGTTTTATAGAATTTGGAAATATTTGGATCAAGAATGGTAAAAAGGTCTAAAATCTATCAACTATCTCGTCACCTATAACAATGAAAAAAAATTCATTTGACGCTCTGTTCACACAGTCCATAGGAAAACATTTCCATGACGTTCGTCAATTGACCTCGTTTTTATCCATTTTTGTGTGAAAACATAAAATTTTAAGCTTTATTAATTTTAAGCGGCTACATTATCCATGACAAACTGCAAAGAACGAGGGGTAAATTACTCTGAAAAAGCGTACGAAGATTTTTGGGATTAGAAAATCCAGGCAATTTTTCTTGGGATTCTGGGATTTTTTCCCCGAAATTTAAGGGATTTTTTCAGCTGATTTTTTGGAAATATTTCCCCTTATTTTTTTTCGCCGAACTTTTTCCGAAATTTTTTGCGACATATCATCCGTCGGATTATTTTCAGTGTTTTTCACGTCAATTCACGATTTAAATGTTTAAATTTGAGATTTCTCAATATTGCAATAATTTTGAGGATTTTATTGGGCTTTTTCCAAGTATTTTATGCAATTTCCAGAGATTTCTTGGGATTTAGTAAGATTTTGGGATTTTTCCAAAGATTTTTTTTGATTTTTGATGAAGTGTACGAAGATTTTCAGAGTAATTTACCCCTGGGCAAAGAATGAAGATATTACCCACAGTTTCCTGCAACTTATTCTGGTTGAGTGGTTATCCAATATATAGTTAATAAATACGCCTTTGCCCGTTTAGTACTACCAAAATGTAAATTTCGACATACTAAAACGCTGTTTTCTGACCATCAGAATTCTGTCAAATCTTCCCCAAAGTCCAGGAAATGGCATTTCAGAGACTCTAGATTTAAAAATTTCCTCGGGCCTTCGGCCCTCGCTTTCAGCCCCCCGAATAAAGAAAAGCCTCCTACGGCCCTGAAACGATAGGGAGACGGCACCGTATGGATTAATAATAGTTAGGATGAGGGGTCAAAAAAAAATTTCAGTAAAAAAATAGAGGGTCATAATTTTTTATCAACTTTTCTCTCGGGGGTTCCAAGTTTTAATATGGAATTAGACATCAGTTCCTCCGGCCCACTTCTAGCTAAAAAAATGAATGCTCCCTTATTATATATTAAAAACGCGATGTATTATAGTTATTACCATGCTCATTGGGCTCTACAGCACAATATCTCAAACGAATTTTATAATTTTTTGAGCTTTGCGTACGAAAATCTATACATATTTTCTTGGCGTAAAATATGTGGCGGACGTGCTGCGTCGATTCCAACCTGGCTCCAGGCAAGGTATGCATCTTTTATCTTTATACAGTAGATCGAATTTCTCTCTTGTTTATAAATCCTACTGTAAACTGTATATATAAATGAAAATGTTATGCTAATTCAATGCCAGTATTAACAATATAATGGTGCTAAGGTTACATTCATATATGAAAAAATGAGCACAAGAAAGGCAAACACTCACTGATTTATATTTAACCAAATTATCTGCCAATGGCAATGTTGGCCAAATTTTCAACCATTACTGGGCTAGCCTGGTATCTCACTTGACTCGAACAGGATGCCCGATCAGCCAGGCTGAAAATATTTGCCCATGATGTGAAGTCCCCAGCCTTCATTGAGTTTACATCAGACATTTGCAAATACTTTATCAACCCGTTGCCAATGTCTTAATTGAAGAGGAAAATAAACTAAATATAGCCTCTATCTCTACATACAAGTATGATCTAAATCATATACAGTACAGTAATTATTTATCATTGGCACTAGTTACTATTATGCTATTCCATGCCGCCCCAATATTATTGACCGTAGACCATTGACCGTAGACCATTGACCGTAGACCTTGTATGTAGATTCAAGTATGATCTAAATCATCTACAGTACAGTAATTATTTATCATTGCCACTACTATTATGCTATATTCCATGCCAGTGTCGCAGTTGATTTGGACCTCTCGGTCCAAATCTACTAGTGGATATGGACCCCGGGGGTTCAAATCTACTAGTATATATGGACCCCCGCTGGTGGATTTGGACCCCTTCAAAAGTTAAATATATATGACTTCAAAAGTTAAATATATGTACTGTAATGTAAGCACAATAATATAAACCAAATTCATAATAGCGATCAATCTGAAGTATTTTATCACTTTTACCACCAAGTAATGATAAGTTATTGTTTACTTAATAATTTTTTATTTTTTGGATGCTCAGAATGCAGGAAATTGCATTTCCGGGTTTCAAATTACAAAAATTTTCTGGGAATTATCCCTCTAATCAGTAATGATAAATTACGGTTAATATTCTTTTTTACTTTTTGTGCATTTTCCCTTCTTTTATTTCAAATACAAGTATAGTTAGCATAAATTTTAGAGCAAATTTGGATGCTCAGAATGGAGGAAATGGCATTTCCGTGCTTCAAATTTCAAAAATTTTTTTGGGGAGTACACTCCCACACACATGACCATTGCTATCCTCCTCTAATAAGTAATGATAAACGATGGTTAATTATTTTCACTTTTTGTGTGTGTGTTTTCCTTTATTTCTTTCAAATACAAGTATAGTTAGCATTAATTTTGGAGCAACTTTGGATGCTCAGAATGCAGGAAA